TTCCTTTCCCCCTTTTTTCCTTTTTTCCTTTCCCCCCTTTTTTCCTTTCCCCCCTTTTTTCCTTTCCCCCCTTTTTTCCTTTCCCCCTTTTTTCCCTTTTTTCTTCTCCCCTTTTTTCCTTTTTTTCCCCTTTCTCCCCCTTTTTTTCCTTTTTCCTCCTCCCCTTTTTTCATTTTTTTTCCTTTTTCCTCCCCTTTTTCTCCCTCTTTCTCCCCTTTTCCCCATTTTTCTATTTCTTTTTTTTCTTTTTTTTCTTTTTTTCCTGTCACTTTTTTTAATAACAGTTTCTAGCCCTGCTACTGAGTTTAATGACTGGATCGGGGAAGGAACATGTTGTCAGCAGATTGTTGCCCGTAGGGCTCGGAGGAAGAGGGATTTTTACTGGCTGAAGCTAATTGGCAGAATAAGCTGCCTTAAAGCTGATCAAATCCCATTGCAAATGCAGGCAGGGATGGGGACCAGGAATCCTGCTACTAAAGGTCTGGTCTGCCAAGGCTTCCTGGACTCTGGCGGGAGGACTGTCTGTGCCATCCCTCTCATCCCTGCCATCCTCTGGGACATGGCTGTCCCTGGGTCAGGGCAGCGGGACCTGCCCGGGGCTGGTGCTGACACCTGGCCTGGCCAGTGCCTGGGCGCTGGAGAGTCAGCTGGGGGATTGGGGCTGTTCCGGGCTCCTGTGCCCGCGGCTCCGCAGCGCGCTGCCGTGAGCACCGCGTTTTGGGATTGGGAGTCATAAACTAACCACAAGATCCTGCGGAAGAGCAATTAAGTCTTTTATTTGCCTGCTGCTGAGAAGCTTTACCCCACAGCCAACGTGACTGTCCGTCTCCCTTGTCCCCTATCTCAGTCTCTTCACTGAGACTTTGCTGGAAGCTGAGGCTCCTGGAAGCAGGAGGGGAAGCCTGTAGATGAGGAAGGAAGGGGGAAAAGCAGCAAGTTATCACGGGGTCTCGTGCATTCCCTGCCTCGTCCTGACTGCAGCTTGCCTGGACGCGGTTCCCCTGCCTCGTGTGAGCCCGTCCCTCCAAAGCCGGTGCCGGAGGTTCTTTGTGCCGAGGTGACTTCTCACCCCCCAGGCAGTGGCCAGGGCACTGCCACCACCCTGCCGAGGTCCCTGCGCTCAGCGCTGGTGTCAGGGTCCGCGCATAGCACTGCACCACCTATAAAGCCAGCTTGATGCAAGCCTAAAACTACACAGACCTGACCAACACCAAGCGTGCTGTGACGAGGGCGCGTACAGAGATGTGTGAAATAGGTGGATGCGGGTTAACGAGCCCCCTGTCCTTAAATCCTTTGCCTGCTTTTAATTTAGATTAATTTGCTTGGATGTTGCTGAGTCTACAAGCCCTTGGAGGCATTGGTATGAGTGGCAAGAAGGATACGTTAGTATGCAGTAATTAGGGTTGACGAGAAGGCTTTTTAACTAAGTGAAATGTTGTCCTTGCATCACGTTGCTGTCTGCTCCCCTGGTGCTGGTGAGCGAGAGTTGTGTAGGGCCTGGGGGCTTGGAGCTGTGTTTGCAGAGCATTAGCTAGCAGGAAGATTCCCCAGGAGATGTGACACTCGTCCTGGATGTCCCTGCTCCTGCACTAGTGATGGCTGAGAGGACACATGTCACTTTTCACCCAGCTGGTGCGGACGTTGGTGTAAAACTGGATTAGTCTTGTTCTTTGCTGATGCACCAGGTTGCACAGAGGAGTGGATACGCATCCCAGTCAAGCGCCATTCCCTGGCACAGTTGCTCCCCCCATCCCCATGCCAAGGGCAAACGTCTTAGGACAACTTGAAAACTGGGGGAGAGGACCAGTCTGCTGGCTGGGCTACGGTGCATTGCTGTGTGTGGCAACGAGCAACAGAGCCTCTTAGCTGGGCACAGTAGCAGCGCTGTCCTCATCTTGCAAGAACCTGAGGCACAGCAGGGTTAGGTAAGAGGCCTAGGTGCCTGTGCAGGGTAGCGCAGAGCTGCAAGGAGCATCCGGCGCTGCCGCTGTCCCCTGGCTCCCCAGCCTGTGCTGCGCGGGCAGGACACATCCACTGCATGTTCACAAGCGGGACAGGTTGCTGCGTGGCACTTCCCTTGGCAGTGGTGGGCACTTCTGGGCTCTTCTTGGTTTAAAGTGGGGCCACTGGGAAGACAGACTGGGAGAGACTGGGGAGGACTGGGAAGACTGGGGCTTCCCTCCCAGCTAGTGACAGCTGGAATGAGGAGGGGTGCGCATGCGTGCAGGAAAAGTGCATTTTCACCAAGAAAAATCTGACTTAAAAACTGGCATATACTAAAATGACTTACTCTGGTTGAGTGGCCCAGGATTAACTGCCTTAGCAGAAAGCATTTTTCTGTCAGAGCCTCTGCTTCTGTAAGAGGGATGTGACTCTCTGGAAACGCTACCCCAAAGCTTAGAGTATTAACACCAGACAGGGCGAAGCCAGCTAAGCTTGACCTAAGGCTGAGATCAGAGTAACCAGCCCGGTTAGGGGTGTTGAGGACTCCAGTCCAACCACTTATAGCCGAGTTTGGGGTGGGCGACATGGGGTTGTCCACTTGGCTGCTTTCCAAGGCACACTGGCCAAGCAAGCCCCGTGCCGTGTCTGCGCGGATGGGGAATCGCGTCCTGCCGGCTTTGCCTAAGACTCCCTAAACATCGTTAGAAAGTGCAGTGCAATCAGACAGGCAACAACAAGCTGAGGTGCCAACACTTAACGTGCAGCGGCAGGCGGCCGGCTGCACGGATCTGATCCTTTGTCGGGGGACACGTCTCCACGCCTGCAAGCTGGGGAGATGCAAAGAGCTCTAAAGTGACTGTGAAAGCAAGTTTCATCTGGGGTTTTTAAAGGAGCTTCTGATAAATTAACTGCAACATGTCAATTTAATGCTTTTTTCCTCTCCAAGTACCTTTGTCAGGCTCTGCCTCCCCTGGTGCTGAAGGGAGATGTGTATCAGTGGTGCCTGATTACACCTTGGAGCTGCGAGTCTCCAGCTGGGATGCGTCAACACAGCAGCAGCTCATGCTGTGAGACCCTTTCTGACGCTGGAGCAGGTGACACATTGACAGGGCAAATGCTGAGGGGGATGCACCGGCTGTAGGACAGCTCAGCATCCTCTCATGCGTGTGGCTCTGTCGCTCTGGTGATAATATTGTGAATGACCTGCCCAGAGCAGTGACAGGTGGTTAGAATTTCCCGTGTGACCATGTGGTCCTAATTTAATTAGAGGGTTTAGGAAAGTTCCTTCAGGAAAAGAGGGAGGAGCAGAAGGTTTAGAGAAGGGCATTCTTGAAAGATGGTGAGATAAGTGGTTAGCTCAAAGGCTCATGTTCTGAGGAGGAGTTGAGCTTCGCCAGCCTGCCTGGGAACTGAAAGACCAAAAAAAAATGTGTGGCTTTAAATGGGAGCTCAAGCCAAGGTTGGGGTGAAGCGGCTGATGAGTACGGGGAATAGGTTGTGTCAGCTCCTGGCCACAGGGCAGAGGAGTTGGCATAAGGCTGGCCTTTCCCAGGGTCCGTGCAGGGCAGATGGCCACGTTCCTGGTCCATCACATGTGTGTGCTGTGTGCTTGGTAGTATTAGGACTTCTTTTTCTCTGAAATGCTTTTATTAGAACTGCTCCTAAATGCTGTCTGGTCACTGCAATCTTCCATGGAGGAGGCAAACTTCAGGTGTGCAGATGGCGGGAGCAGCTGAGGTGGTCAAGGTTGGCAGGGCAGCCCCAGAAGCGGCCGCGCTGGTGGAGGGGGGCAGGGAGGCCCCCGGGTCTGGGGATGAGCCCCGTGTTCCTGGAGGGAATCTGAGGAGGATGTGAAGTGCCCCTGTCCTGACAGCTAGTGGGAGGGACCCTGTACTCTTGGAGACCCTGAAGTGAGCAAGGGTGCCAGGTAAGTTGTCACCTTAGGAACAACGCTGAGAGATCCCTGGTCCTTTGACCAACCCTGGACCCTCTGGCCTCTGAAATCCAGCGCCCCTGAGAAATGCTATCACAGTGTCTCTCTTTTGTCTCTCTGCTCCAGGTGTGAAAGCACAGAGGAGTATGACTACGATTACCTCAGCATCAATAAAACCTGGGTCCTCACCCCCAGGGCGCAGGAGACTGATGCCACGCAAATCCTCAACTCACTGCTGAAGAACTATGACAACAAGTTGAGGCCTGACATTGGCAGTAAGTGTCCCTCAGAGCCACCCTTTGGGCAGCAGGGCAATGGGTAGTGACCTGCCCAGGGGTGTCCCATGTTCTCCATGTGGCTTTGTAGCTTCTGTAGTTGGGGTTTCTAGTCAGATTAAGCCACAATGCTTGTGAATGCTCCCCAACTTCTTCTTCAGCCCCAGTCCTCTGTCCTTTGCTGATGACCTCAGCCTCCTGCTCACATGCCCCTTTTATTTCCTTTACAGTCAAGCCCACATTTATCGACGTGGATATCTACGTGAACAGCATTGGGCCAGTATCTGTAATCCAAATGGTGAGTGGACATTGTTGCTAGAATGTCATGTGTAAAAACGTGAGAATGTGGGGTGTAGCTCTGCTGCCTGGTGGGTTGCATCCTGCTTGCTCAATGTGGCATGAAGGAGATCTCATCACAGGAAGAGGTGGATTTGTACCCCTTCTTTGGGAAGATGTGCTCTCAACTGCTGATTGCTGGAGCTAGGGAAGTTTTGCTGCTATCCCTGGTTAGGAGCAAGGTCCCCATATGTTTTAGGGAGGATCAGTGACCAGCTATCCTCAGGGCAGTGATGTTGATGCTCTCTGTTCTCTGCCTGTGATGTGCAGACAGGAATCTCAGTGCGGAGCCTTTGCCTTGCCCAGTCCCGTGGGAGCACGAGCACGAGGGAGCTGGGATGCTCAGGGCGAATTCACTGCCCCTGCTGAGGCCGTGCTGGCTGAGAGGGGGAGCAGTGCAGTCCTCAGGAGGACTGAAATAGGTATCTGGAGATGGTTGCCATGACGATGGTCTGATGGTGTGAAACTTGGGTGCCTAGGCCTGTGCCTGTCGTGCTGGCGAGAGGCAGGCGGGGTGGCTTGGATCAAAAGGCTGCATTTCCATACGTTGCTGTCTTGGATTGGCGTCATCGCGACTTCAGCAGCTTCCGCTCACGGCTCAGACCTCCCTGCACCAGGACTTGTGGAAATGTTCGGTAGAGATGCTCTTTTTGCTGTGAAGAACTTCCAGGCAACTTTGCATTGCTTTTCATGGGAAATCTCTATTTTTCTGCCTTCTCTCCCCGTCTCATCTTCCCTTTCATCGAAAATGCTGTCACACTTTGAAAAACATTTTTGGCCATAGGGCAGTGTGGTCACAGAGAGTGGTTGCCAGGGCAGTTTGATTCTTCCTTTCTTTCTTAATGCAAAACTGAGCAGAAGCAAAAGCAGCCTCCATCAAACCTGAAAAGAGAGTATTTCCAGAACAGGGATGTTTTTATAAAGTAGAAAACTTCTGCTAAACAAACCCATTTGGTGGAGAGGAGAATGGCATTGTAGAGGTAGTACTGCTTTCCCTCTGAAAAGCATTTCATCACAACCTTTGTGACTGAGCATGTGAAGGCACCATCAGGTTGCCCAGCAGGAAAGTCCTCAAGTCAAAAAAAATTTCCTCTGGTTGTTTTTGTGGGTGTTTCCTGGAGATGTGGCTTTGTGTGGGCTGAAGTTACTTGACTGAGCCCTGTGAAGGAAGAGAGGAGCAAGAAGGTGGGGAAAGCGCCATCGTGTTGCTGAGCTCCATTCTGCTGTGGCTACCTGAACGGGACCAGCAATGTGGAGGGAGTGGGGAGCAGTCCCTCGTGAAAGGGGCTGGATCACTGGGGAAGCCTTTGGATGATGCATCCTCTTGCTGACTGATAATGCAGACTGGGGCAGAAATGCTATAGGTGGCTGTCCTGTCAGGTTTACACTGTCCTAGGATGTGCCAGGCAAAATACAGAAGAAAACCACTGTGCACTACTTAATACCTACTTCTTTCCTCTTCACCTGTTTTGTTCCATCCCCCTTGGATGCCTTGTTCTCCTCCCTGCTATAGCATTGCTGCATGACCATGCAGCTTGAAGGAGCAAAGAATGGCTTGCAAACCCAGTCGTGCATTCACCTCCTCTCCCAAAACGAGATACCAGGCATTGCTGCTAGAGTGGTTTCCTAAGAAACGAAGCTTGTGCAGCGGCGATGTGTACGTGAGAACAAACGTATTTTTCGTCCATCCCAGCGCTTCGATGACTTTTGATCCACAGGCCTAATACCAACTATGTTTGGCAGCATATGGGCATTGTATGGATTCAATCCCTGCAGTTTTTGTGAAAACAGGATGCCAGGAAGAGAAAATAGCCATCTCATGGGATGGTTAATAGCCATCCCTAATGTGGGAAAAGCTATTGTGTGAGCTCAGCCCTTCCTAGACACCAGAGGATCCAGAATGCTGCTGAGGACAGGCTTGCCTGTTCCTAGAGCAGCTGAACCAAGGTGCTTTGGCTCTTTCCTAGAGTCAGCAGGAGCTTTTACGTGGTGTGAAATGGGGCTCTGTGAGTGCATGGCATCCCCGGCAGGGTCCCAGTGCACATAATGTGAGCTGGGAGTGTGAGGTCGCCTACATCTGCAGGGCTCTGCTGGAGAAGCTGCTGCCTAGGAGCTGGTCTGCCTGGCTGGAGCCTTCCCAGCTGAGGAGGATATCGATGCGCTGGATAGTTGCTGTTAATGTGAATGCCATGGGGAGAAGCTGCTCTGCCAGGGAGGAAGCTGCTCAGCCCAGAGAGCTGAGGGCTCTTAGACTGGTGGTATTTTGCTGTGTCAATCACAACTGGCTGCACAGTCTGCCCAAGGTGCCTGGGTGCTGCCAGAGTGGGGGTCCCTGCTTGGTCTCATCCCATTGAAAGGCAAATCTGCCAGCTGTGGCCAATGATTTAAGGGTATATCTGCACCCTAAGCAGACTCTACAATCTTGTTCTCTCACTATCCCTTTACTAACGTCTAAATCTGTGATGCCCTTGAGCTTGAAAGCCTTTCTCCTCAAGATCTTTGGTGGATAATGAAGATACTGAAGAAGGCTGTGCCCAAATCTTACAACACTGATGGCAAATTTTTGCCATCAGTGTGGCCGAATGGTTCCCCTTGCTCATGAGAAGTTGCATCCTGCTATGGCTTCTCCTAAAGAAATAAGAAAAGGGTTGCAATAAAGCTATGGTGCCACTGCTCGGTTGGCTGCTTTGCCCACTCTTGTTTTGCTTTTTACTTCCTACTTGTGAAACAAATGCAGCCACTCTGTGGGTCCTTCTGGTGTCAAAGTTACCATGCAGATTGCCCTTCCTGGGGGAGATTTACCACTTGCCACTGCCAGCACTTTTCTCCTTTCCTGCAGGGCTTCTTTTAACCTGGGAAGCTCTGCTTCCTCTTGGATTCCAGATCTGTCTTGGATGTCAGATCTCTCCCTTTTCCCATACACAGCCTGAGGTAATGCATATTTCTGAGGGAAGAGAACAAGGATTCAACTTGGAATCTCTCCTGAGCCCCAGTGAGATTCCGGGGATGCTCTGTCAGAGCAGCTTTAGTCCCTGCTGCACACACAGAGCCTCGTATGAGCTGGAGGCCCCCCTGGAGGGGAGGTGTCACTTAGCTCTTCTAGGTGCATTTGCAGGGGCAGCGTTCTAGGTAGGCGTTTGTCCCTTGCACGGCAGGCCTTGTAGCAGGTGATAACCTGGCTCTGCTTTTAGAGGATATACCACCATTACCATGGCTTTTAGCACAGCCCCGTGTTGTCTGTGCATCTGAAGCCAAAAGCTGCAGGAGTCTGACAGGCTGGTGGAACTGAAAACTCCAATTTAAGCAATATAGTCAAGTATTGGGTGTCCTGTGGTCTCTTGCCCTCCTCTCAAAGAGTTAAGTGCTCTCTGCTGCCTTCAGCCTGGCAATACCCTGTCAGTGCCTGGAGGCTGGTCCTGTGTAGCCGTTGCTCAACCTCAAAGTGATAAATCATGTCAGGACACAAAACTGATTCAGGTCCTTAGAAATGAAAAGGTGATTTGAAAATGCCCTGCGTTGGGTGTGAATTCTGCATCCCCCTCATCGATCACTTGTCATAAATAACATTAATATTCAGGAGTCAGCAGAAAGCAGGCAGGTTTGGAGAGGGAAGAAACACAAAGTGATTTCCCGGTATCTTTTGTAGACTGAAATGGCTATCTTGTTTCCTATCTAGGTGTTCAGACAAATTTGAAATTCTCTTTTCCCTGTGAGAAGGAGCTGGCTCTGGCATCCCAAGAGAGAATGAAAACACAGCAGCAACACACATGAGGACCCGAGCTCTTGTGTCCCCCTGCGCCATCCCTCTGCTCTGCCTCTCAGCCAGGAGGCTGCTTGGTGCTGCATCTGCTTGGGGCTGCAGCCATGAGACCAGGCCGGGGCTGGCAGCAAAGCCGCCCGTGGAGCGGGGCGATGCTCCCTGCCTATGGGGGCAGGCCGGGCAGGAGGAGCTCAGCTCTGCGAGATGCGCGTGTTGGATGCCTGTTTAGGTACCATCACACAGACAGCGTTCGGGCGTCCCAGTCTCCTTGGCACGGACAAATCCGAGCCTGGTGCTTTGATACGGTGATGAAAAACAACCTTGGTTCTCCATGCATGTTTGTGGAAGAGGTGCCAGGGAGGGCTGCAGCTGTGGGGGCTAAGGTAGGAGACTTTGAGTTGAAATTTTCTGCTGACTGGTTGTTTGCTGGAGGGATTTGCTCCTGGTTTTGTTTTTAAATGGCTCTATTGCTGTGGATTATAGCTTTAACTGGTGTCAAGGGCACCTTGAGTTCTGGATCACCTTCCTTTAGGGCTGTTTAACTCTCAGGAAATGATGCTGTAGAAGCAGAGTGGTTGCCAAATATTGGGGCCAAATGTGTTTCAGACCTGAGGATGTCCGTGAAGTGTCCGTGAGAATCCGCATGGGTGGGAGTGAAAAAGTTCTTCTAATCCCGGTTTGGGGACAGAGCAAGTCCTGCTCCAAGCTCCCTCCTAAAGACCTGAGCTGCTATGTCCTTTGCTGCCTTTCTCATTTGCAGAGCAAAATGCAAGCCTTGTAGTTGAGCGCTCCAAGTGAGCACGATGCTGCAGTAGCCTCCTATCCAAAGTGGTGGTGTGTCCCAATACCCATGTTCATTATTCCCCTCTTCCCTCTTTAAGAGATGCTGTATGCCATTAAATTTATAATGCTCTGCCTAAGCAGTAGTTACTATGCAACACACTAACGAAATTGAGGATGAAAAACATACTCTCCCATGTCTGAAGCATTGCAAAATAGATTTAGTAGATTTGCATGTGTGGTGCATTTGGTGGGGGGAGAGAAAACGGGGGGAAAATGTTTATGTGTTATCAGTTGATGAATAATTGATTTACAAAACTTGTCTTATTAAATATAAATTAAATTCTCATTTGACACACTTTATAATTTAGAAGTATAAGCACAGCATGAGTGAATAGAGCTCCCCACTGACTGCTCCCATG